CATTGAGTTTTGTTCTGTATACAAAGAAGTTCTTTCTTCTTCAGATTTGTTAAATAGTGCTTGATATTCTAGAAGTTTTAGCATTTTACGTGTTTGTTTGTTTTGTATTCGGTACATGATTTTTGTTTTGTTGTTTGACTGTCTATTATCAGAGAGCTATTTGTTTATTCGACTAATTTGAACATGTTTGTTTGTTTGGAATCTTTACAACCAAGTCAGAGACAAATTCTCAAAATTCTACAAAAATTTCTAAATTTTTGTCAAAAATTTAAAATTTTCCAAGAAGCGAGTTTCAAGACCAAGAAGTTTGAAGTCGTTTTAAGAAACTCCAGTTGCTTTCTTTAATTCTATCTTTTGACTTAGAACCAAAATTCTTATTGTCTTAGTAGAGTTTTGCTTTAGATTAGGTTTTTCTTTAGCTCAAGGTCTGGTACAAATAATTAAGGAAAAGAGTTTTTTTTTGTTTATATATATAATAAAAATTTTTAAAAGTTCATTATTAAGTAATTTACTATATTTTTATACCAAATATACCGAACTTTATAATTTTGCAAAAAAAGTTTGATAAAGCATGTATTTAGTATTATATTTATAGCAATATTTTATGTTATACATAGATATATAGTATAATTAAATACTTGACTAACACGTGACCTATGTATCACGATTCTGATTGGTCAATATTGATGGATATACAATGGAATTTAATATAATATAGATTTTTTAAATAGACCAATCACATTTGATCTTATGTGGGGAGGAGGGGGAATACCCTTATAGTAAATAGATATTACGTAATATATGTCAGAGCCCTTATATAAATTGCTATTTATATTGAATTTTAAATGGTTAGTTGTATATATGTACAGTATTGCAGTATTGCAGTACATATAGTTTTTTTTTTTTTTTTTGGTACGTATTACTAATCCGAAAGTTCATTTATTATCTACCTTGCATGTACCGATACTATCGGCAATAACAGGTAAAAACGTCCCGAGTGCCCCGATTTTGTAGATTGTTACACGATTAATTAAGGTTTTTTTTTATACGTTTTACAATACTTTTTTTAGAAGCTCGGGTAGATTATCTAATCTATGAAACAAGGTAGATTATTAACGAAACTTGAAGCTCTCACCTTGCTCTACAAGATATTCGCTTAATCCAACTTAATCCAACAACTTTCATATTACACTTCACCAATCGAAGTTATAAGCAAATAACTACCACTAAGCTAACAAAATCTCATTTGTTGCGCAAAAAAAAGGTAAAAAAGTTTAAAATAATGATTTAGAAAAATAGTATAAATTTAAAGCTTAGATTGTGCATTCTTATTGTATATATTATATAGTTTTTTTTTAAAAAAAGTTGAAGTGTACAAATAACAGTTATTAACTTTCCTTTTTTTTGTTTTTTACAAAGTTTTTTTAGGACGTAGTAATAGATTTATGTAGATACAATATGTAATATGGCTGTAAAACAAATCATGAATATTAAAGATCTCTTCAATAGAATAATAGTGTGTGATACTATGAAAAATTCAAGTTTATTAGATATAGTATTAGACATGAAGATTATAAAAAACAACGATTATAACTTATGTGTAATATGGTTTAAATTAGTCCAAATTAATAAAGACATGTTTGTCTTCTAGTAATACCATTTAGTGACATTTACTTTAAAATTTTAAATATTAATTTTGTTTAAATTTCTTTTGATTTTGCTTTGATTTACTCTTCGATTTTGTTGCTTAATTTTTTGTTTAAAATTAACAATTTTGATTAGCTGGTTAGCATGTGATGATCACACATCTTACTTGTTATTGTAAAACATATAAAAAAAAATTGTTTATCAATTGTGTAACTATCAGGTGACTTAGATAATCATTCCTAAATTTGGGACGGTCTCACCTGTTAATATCAGGTGCATACCAGGAGAAAAGTTTCTGATATGTACCCGTTAGTCTGCCATAGATCTGCGGTAGATCGATATCAACAAGATAATAGCAAAATATTGGAATACCCCAATATCTTACTTTTAAGCCCAGAGTGCTAAGAGTAAGATATCAGGATATCCCAATACTGTACTGTTATTGTCACGGGCTAGATTGACATCATAGTCAATCAAGTTGATAATTTAGAGCCGAAGACTTAGACAATCTGCAATAGATCTCAGCCGATTGAAATTAAGCCACTATATAATAAGGTGAGATCTGTTTAAGCCTTATTAGTCCTTTAAGTTATAAAAAGAACGTAACTTAGTTAAGGTTGGTTACGACACTTATGTGCGAGGAAGGGGCATATAATATCACTAATCCGATAATAATTTCTTATATTATAATTAACCAAATTACCAACGTCACGCCTCTGGCGAGTTGCCTTATGTTATAAAAGTCTATATTTTATAGTATAGATTATTAAACGTACGATTCACCCCGTAACAATAAAATTGAAAACATTTTAAAGAATAAAATGTTCTCATATAAGAGAACTTTATTTTAAATATCAATGCTCTTAAACAAAATTGAATGTTGAATTTTAAACACTAATATAACTCTGATATTTATAAAGAAAATAAAAAATAGAATAAATGACAATTGACGTGATTATCGTTGGTCCTGTAAAGTAGAGGATAATGATTTCTGAACGGTATATACATTATATAGATATTATCATAATTAATATATATCCGTTGAATTCTAGTGATTTAATATAAATCTTTATATTAATAATCAATTTATAAATTTAACATTTTGATTAATTAAAGATAACATGTTACAAAAAATTATTAATGCGTGCAAATATTTTATTTAATCTAATAATCTAAAATACAGTTTATGCATATACAAATATAACTACATTTAAAGTATTCAATCTATAAAATATTAAAATGATTACTATCAATTCTTTCTAATTACGGATTGAGTACAGTATATATATCTATAAAACATTTTTTTTTTTTTTTTTTAAAAAAAAAAAAAAACCAATTAATTACATTAATTTCATAATCAATATGTATAATTACGTCTATATTTGAGTATATCGAGTTAAAGCCATCCTCCTTCGTGTTCTACCTCGACTACGATTACGATTATAATTATCTTCCTCTTCACCTTCTGCCTGTCTTTCGCTCAAACTTCCTCCCATCATAACTGGGCTAACATTTTGACAACATTCTCTAATATCCTCTAATAGAAGCACACATAACCTTTTTGTTGGTACGATTAGATCAATGCAAGGACTAATATGTTTAAGATCTTCATAAATTTTAAGTTGCACTGAAGGTATACCAACAGAATCCAGTAGGGAGAAAAAGTTACGAGTAGAAGTTGGAGGGTGAAACGAATCCTTTTAGGATAAATAAAAAAATCCATCAATTATACGGAGAATGTATATATAATCATTCATATTCAATTCAAACATTATTCAACCATTATTAACAATACTTTACCTTATCTCCATGTATCAGAAAAATTTTTCGAGGTAACAATGCCCTAAGCTGATCGCGATTTTGTGAATTATTGAGAGCATAATTGAGTAAATAAGTAGGTGAGCATTGAAGTAGAGATTCTGATGTATTTCCTGTTTATATATGCATCAAGTTAATCAATATAGAATTGTACGAAGAAAAAGATTTAATAATGGTGAGAATCAATTTACCCATTACTCGGGGCATAGCATGAACTTGTTCAAGACCTACGAGGCAAATTCATTCAAAAACGCATTATTTTTCGATTGGTCGCAGCACCACGATTATGATATAACCGAAAGCTCGCGTACCTCGTTGATGTAAATATGCGTAGTGATAAGTCGTATCATAAACGCCCGAGAATCTAAAAGGTATTAAAAGGATCAGGTTGATAAAGATTGATACAAAATCGATAAAATTAAAACATGAACTAGTAACTAATTACAAGATTAGCCCTTGAATTCTCGGTAATCCAGTCCTTCCATTTGTAGGACCACAAACAGGAATCCTCACATCAGTTGTGTTAATCGGAAGTGCATGCAAAGTGGCACAAACATCGTGAATCACAGTTAAAGAAGACAAGAGCGCCCCTGCGGAATGACCCATAAGATAGATCTGTGAAGGATCACCACGGAATTGCCTAAAATAAGTTACATAAGTTATATAGATACGATATTCTGGATTATCTTGCCAATAGAAAATAAAGCAGTACCTAATATGATTATACGTCCATTGGATGCACTGTTGAACATCAGAAACCATTTCTGTAATTTTTCCCTATAAATACAATATAAAAATAACAATGAGTATATTTAATGATATTGTTGCTTTAAACTTTCTCAATAAATTTCTAATAGATCATATACTTTTGGATAAAGTGTGATGTCAGGAACTACAACAATATAACCCTGACTTTGTAAATTATTAGCTACTGGCATGCAAATTGCTTTATTTCCTATGAAGTAACGAATAAATATAATTATTTAATTATCCTTGGTCACGTGATACCGGGGACAAATTAGTAAATTCGCCAGAACTACTCACCAGAAATCCAAGAACTACTAATGAAAATGATAACAGGAGATTCATGAGAAGAACTGGTCACATTTACATTTCCAGAATGCATAAAGTAAGGAATATTATCAGAAAAAACTTGACTATTCCTGAAAGTGGTTGTGGGAATCCGATCAGGAAAGTATATGTCAAGGCGGTTCCTTGGACTATATTTAATGTTTTTTCTGATGATTTTATTGTGAAAAAAATGATGAATAACGAGTTAAAAAACAAAGTTTGATTGTAGAGAGATTTTAGTGAGATTTTATTGAGTAAAAGGTAAGTACTTGACAGATATCTTCTTTCTTTGACTAGATAACTTGTGCCAACCATATTGAAGAATCGATGGAATGAATGGACCGGTTAAATTTTCATACAAGCAATTAAGCAGGTATGAAAATACTTTGAAAACCCGTTTAGGGCTTAACGGAACTCTCGACTGTGATGGTGGTGCGTCAGTTTGGGCTAAAATGGAATGTTAATCAACATTAATAAAAATTGATTTATTTTGATTTAAACCTGTTTTTTTTTAACCAAAAAAATTTATATACCACATGAAAGATAGAAGACCCAGCAAGTTATATACGCAAAAACTAAATGTAT